AAGGTGTCGGCTGTGAGCTCGACTGCAAACGCCTCTCTGAGCTTGGCGTCGTCGCTGATGAGAGTGAGATGCACCCCCTCCATCGCCTCGCTCTCTCTGAACTAGGCCAAGGTCTGCTCCTGTCTTGTCGTCGAAGGCGAGCTCATCACCCACTCTATCTCTTTTTGCTGGAGAGTGCCCGGACTTGCCCCAACAGAGACATACGTCTTCTGGCTCGGCCCCTTGCGAACTCTCTGCCCAGGACCCTGCACGAGCATGCCTGCAAGTGGTTGTACCTCTGCGGCTGCAAGAGATTGCGAGAGCAGCTGAAATCGATAAATCTGAGCGATCTCAGCCGTCGACATTCCTCCGAGAGCTAAGAGCTGCGATAGCTCGGCAAGGCTCCCTCCCTTGCCCCAAGGTCCTCGCTTGGCTCGAAGCTTGAACGACCGGTCGTGTGCAATGCTCACCTCTGTGGCTCGGAAGGCTCTCCCTTCTATGCAGTATTCTTTCCTGCCTTCCCATAGCTCCATGGCTGCTTCATTCCGAAGGAAGGAGACGGTGACTGAGATGTCGTCTGCTCGTGCTATCTCAGGTCTGTAAGGTGCTTTCCACATGATGGCCTTGTCGACTCCATCGACTGAGTCTACCATGAGACCTAGCTCCATAAGCTTCGATTTCAACTTTTCTTCTTGTCGAACATACATCGAGGAAATCCCTAGGAGAGTCATGGAGATGAAGGAGGTCCCCTCGGTGCCTTCTGTGCCGATGTATGTCTCGACATTCTGCTTCTTGGCCTCCTCCATCTGTTGAATAAACCATGCTCTCGACTCTGAGCTCCATTCACTCAGAGAGTCTTCAAACAGGTCGCGTCTCGCCTGCCGACATGTCGAGCGGATGGCTTCAGCGATAGCGTCGGGAGTGCATCCCCCCTCAGCTCTGCAAGCCTGAGCTGTCCTACTACCAGGATACCGCTTCGCGAAGCTCTTCACCCTCTCGACGAGGTCGGCGGCCTCCTCGACGTGGCCTCCAGAGCGCTCACCCTGCGTGTATTGGCATGATCTCCGATACAGCAGGTTGCGAACGCTCTCATCATACTGTAGTACCATGCTTAGAAGCTGTTTGAACTATACGAACCTCTTGCTCGCAGCTTCCACCGGTCCCCTTGCGCTCTCCCTACGCGCCGCGGATGTGCATGCCTCGGGAAGGGGCGGCCTGCTAAACCCTAAACCCTAAACCCTAAACCCTAAACCCGAGGCGAATGCTTGTTTTCCTTGCTTGGCCATTTCCTTTGCCTCTTGAATGTGTCTCTGAGATTCTTTTGCTAGTTGGAGTCGGATCCTGATTCCCCTTCCTTCGAGTTTCTTCATGCAAGTGAGTAACCGATCATGTAAGTCCTCCTAAACCCTAAACCCTAAACCCTAGTAGTAGTAGTAGTAGTAGTTGAGTTTATTAGAATGCTAGGTAGGTTGCATGGCTTGTTTTCACCTTGCTCTATTCTAGTCTAACAGGGATCTCGTGACCTGGCAGTTCGGCCCGACTTGGCTGGCCCTTATGGCAGCCGTGCTTCTGCTCTGCTCCCTCCTCTGATATACTTCAGTGGTCTTCCCCGGCCTCAGCCAGTGGAGTTTCCTCCGCCGGCCTTGGCCTGGGACGTCCGTGCTTTACTTGTGTTGCTTTCTCGGCTCCGACACACCTTTGCGGTCTCGGCCGGCCTTCGGCCAGTGAGTGGCTGATGGATGAGGTGGCAAGTGGGTTGTGGATGGGTCCCTGGGACTCACGTCCCTTAACCCGGGCCTCGGTCCGGACCGGGCCCGAGAGCCCGGCCGGCCTTCGCCCGGCCTCCTCCCCCCCCGCCTCCCCCTCCCCACTCGGAAGGGGCTTACCTGCCCTTACCTTCGGTGCTTGCCCCATTTTTTCTCATTT